CTGAGGATTTACTAGGAATTTAATGAGTAATTAATTGAGAATTTACTAAATAATTTACTGAGAATCTAGTAAGTAATTTACTGAGAATTTACTGGAAATTTATTGAGAATTTTCTAAGTAATTTACTTTATAATTTACTGAAAATTTTCGAAGTAATTTAATGAGAATTTACTGAGTGATTTACTCGGAATTTACTGAGCAATTTACTTAGCAATTTACTGGGAATTTACTGAGATTTTATTGAGTAATTTACCATGAACTTATGAAAAATTTACTTCAAATTTTCTATATAATTTACTGAGGATTTACAAGGAATTTATTGTGTTCTTAATTGATAATTTACTGAATAATTTGCTGAGAAAGGATGTTCAAGTTTTTTGTAGTGTTCAGAAATGCACCAGAAGGACATACCAAAATTTTAGCTGCATTTAGCTTCCTTTTGTTCGGTCGGTTGGATGGGACTGAGTCGAATAGGTAGGCTACACGGTCCACCATATCAATTTTAACGCACAACCAATGCACTCCTCTGTAATTGAAAGGCACGTAAATCTACACGAAAACACAACGGCAGACCTTGTTTAGAGGCCATGTACGTTGGTGGTAGGTTTAAAGACGTGAACACACTTATTGTTGTTTGGTGGCAACAACTACCCAAACTGCGTAAAAGCAACTTAATGACTGCGGGTATTGCATTTAAAGGTTCGGTGCAATTGGAACGGCATATGTATCTGATAAGAGCAATTTTGCTAACCTTTATGGATGAGTAGACATGTAATTGGGTTGGGGCACAAATACAAATGACGAATGTGACTGTATGATGAACTGTGGGTGTGGAAATCAATGACAGTGGGCTAGTACTGATGGAAGGTACAATGCATGTGTGTTGGAAATGCCAAATAATGGACGATCAGGGGTACTGAACGGATGACTTGGTGCATGCAAGAAGGAATGAATTTTTGCAAGATGAATTCGGCCAGTTTGAGAAATTAATACGATGTATGTCACAATGCATGAGGTCTTCTGCAAACATACAAGTCATGTACCATATATTACAAATACTTACAGCATAGTGTTGTGTAATATTATGAATCTGTACATTCCTTTAAAAAAGTAGTCAGTAAAATAAACCATACACATATTCCTACAAAATGTCCGATTCGAACAAGATTGAAGCTATTGTTGAAGCTCATGTTGCTCCTGTATTCCAGCAGTTGCAAGCTATCTACGAAAGGCTGAATGAAGTGGACACACGGTTGTCAAGTTTGGAGCGGCAAGTCGGCGCTATCAAGCAGAACGTTGATTGGCTGACCGATGACAAATTGGCGGCGGACGAAGCGAAGTCTGATAAGACAATGGATGAGGACAGTCAGTCAGACAGTACGGACAACTCTTCAGAAGACGCTGCTGATGATGCAGCAGATATGTAGATTTGATTTATTTTTTTTTTAACCTTCCTTGTAAGCCATGAAAGTTTTTTTTTGGCTGGAGTCATATGTGCTAATGGGCTGATATATAACTTACCTATGAAGAGTATTGAGTTTTCATTCATAATGTGGTTTCTTTCATTTTTGAAAATTAATTTTCTCTTTTTTGTAATTAAATTATAAATTAACTTCGGTAACAAAAGCAGCCGTAAATTATATATAGTTACAGTCGCATTCATCCGAACAAGAAACATGCGTAAAGAAAATAGTACTAAGTCAGCAGCCACGTCGACATGTTTGATCCATGTTTATAGTTGGTCCATATTTACATCTTCCAGCAAAAACAATACTGGGGACCCATAATTAACATCCATATTGAAATCAAAGAATAAAAAATTAGTTAAAGTCCTATTGCCACCCAAATTAGTGGCGTATTGGCAGCCCATTCCCATCACTGGCCTAGCTTGTGGCATTGTTCATATGAAGGCACTCCCGGTACTCTGTGATCTTTGCATTATTGACATCCATAACGATGTCAACCAACAACTTATGACGCACAGAGGGAGTGAACTTTGTCCACAAAAATCGTAAGACAAATCAGTTAAAATTGGAGGACGTACGAGGAAGGATTTGATTGACAAATGGAAATTAAGCGGTAGAATGTACCTTGTGTGGACCGGGGCTTAAATCAGGTTGCTGCATGAATTTGATGACGAACATCCCACAGTCAAACGTGCTACAAAAATAATTTCACATTAAAGTTGTCGTCAATACGTAATAGGTTCATTAAGTCAGTCATGCAGCTTAGACATTAATGTGAGGGAGGGATTGTGGATTACTCGTCCAGTTGTTGTACTGGCCTCTCGTCTAACATGCAGCGGTGGAAGGTACGCACGTCTGTAACATAATCATTTCCAAAGTGTAGTTGCAGCAAGTCGTGCATAGTTTCAACCTGTTCCACAAGGTTGAAGTTGGTTTACGTAAAGGATGTTCAAGTTTTTTGTAGTGTTCAGAAATGCACCAGAAGGACATACCAAAATTTTAGCTGCATTTAGCTTCCTTTTGTTCGGTCGGTTGGATGGGACTGAGTCGAATAGGTAGGCTACACGGTCCACCATATCAATTTTAACGCACAACCAATGCACTCCTCTGTAATTGAAAGGCACGTAAATCTACACGAAAACACAACGGCAGACCTTGTTTAGAGGCCATGCAAACATGTAATGGCTTTCATATTTTCGTTTTAATATAACGGGATGAACATTGATATTACCCTCTGGCATGCATCAATTGCACCAGTGTATCTGTCATGTTCGAAAAATGATGTGACGATATGTTCATGGTCCAGAGGTTGCATATCTTTATTTAGAATCATAGTCTGCATGTGTAATGCGTAAAGGTCATTGACGGAAACATTTGTCAAAATATGTCATACACAATACACAACGTAGCTTTAAACACTTACTTACCGACAGATATACGGGAAAGAACCAATCAGTGTGCCTCCCGTCATTGTGTAAATCCCTCTGTCGATTAGTCAATTGCACCACCACCAAGTTGATTGGCTGGAACATTGTATGCAAGACACAAGGCAAGTTGATTAGAAAGGTTTCTGAGTTAGGGGTACTGAAAAACGCAGATTCATATTTGTGCAGCCAACACTTACAGTGTCGGATAGCCACGACCCTGGTTTGAGCGTGCGCATGTCACGCCGGGTGCCAACTTCACATGCCCGTCCATGAAGATTCATGGAAACAACAATGTCCCTACAAGCAATAAATGATCCTTAGAACGATAGTTATTTCACAGTGGACTGTCATTGAAAATTTGCAAGTAGTAAATGAAACAATACATTTCATTTTTGCTATCGTCAAATACATAGTGAAGAAGTTTTTGTTCCTCCGCCAATAATAACCCTTCGCTGTCCAACATCGTCAACGAGTCCTACAAAAATAAACAGCCAACTAACAGTACACATTTCATAAAAATATTGAAGCTTATATTACAAGGTCTGTAGTAATAAAAAAAACGTGAAATGATGTAAAAACTGTGAGCCCCAGAGTTTTCCCAACTTGTGATGTTTAGTGCGGAGTTTGTTAGAAATGTGTACTAACATATGGCAGCAGTCATAACTGCAAACATGCAATTCTTTGACAACTACTACAATACAACACAGATGATTGTAAAATTACTGATTCACATTATTGATGTGGGTATGAATTGGGTATTCACAACTTGTGGGGCATTAAAGGCAGTATTTGTACCTTGTTCACGTTGTCCACACCATCAACATCCACAGGTGAACTGCTGTCGTCAACTCCACTATTTGTTTTGCTATCGATGCACAATTGCATATCCCCGACCTCAGTGGCTTGAACTCCACTTCCGCACATTTTTCCTTTTCCTTTTCCTTTTCGTCTTCCCTTTGCACTTTTTCTAACGATTCCAGTTGCTCCCAATGGTTTGCCAAGCTTAGTAGGAGAAGTATGCACATCGCACGCCACGTTCTTCACGCCCACTGACTGAAGGTCAGGACTGTATTTATCTTCAGTTTCATATGTTTCCCCTGACTGAAGGCCTCCCTTCTTGTTGTTGTCACCACCTTCTTCGATGTTCAGCTTGTGCCCATCATGCAAATGACTTTTGTCCCTTGCCAAGGTTCCCTTCAAAATATGTTGTTGGTGATCCACCCCTTGTACATCTGAAATATTACACTCCATTGGGTTAACTTCGTCCGATGGTTTGACCACGCCATCCTCATGCGCCTCGACTCCAACAGCAGGGTCCACACCCTGTTTGGCCACGCCTGCCGGTTGCGGTGTAGAGAATATACCTTCGATGAGGTGGTGTAGCATTTGCTTCAGTTCACGTAAATTGGTTTGTTCAGTGAACGGTTCGTTACAGCCCAAACTGAAACGTTGAAGCAGTTGCTTCAGCATGTCCTTCAGTTGAGCAACATTGGAGGAGAGGTTAATGATACATACATCATTGCCTTCCACCTAATTATACATACACATTCGTGAACTTAGTCTTACAAACCATCTTCAATTGATGTGGCTCAACTGTGTGAAAATTGCTTAATGCTTGGATGGATTACCTTGTCATTGCGAACAACTTGCTTGCCTTCGAAATGTCGCAACATCTCCATTAAATCTGTTTGGTTGTGGAGAACTTGCTTCATCATTTCCTTCAGTTCACGAATGTCGGACTCCAAATTGCTCATACGGACTTCATTGTACTGTCCTGTTTGTTGGTTCTCGACATGGCATGCATCCATGTCAGCATCATCGGCGTTACTGTAATCAAACTCCACCTAATCATAGAAACGCATAAATGAAGTCTGACATTGTATGTTGAAGACAAGTGGGTCGATGGTGTGAAATGTACACAGTGGTAGGAGTGCTTACCGCAATTGTTGGGAAATTTTGCTTCCTTCTGATACGTCGCAACGTCTCCCGTATTTGGGTATCACCCCAATCATGAAGCCGAGGTGTGGACCGTGTCGTAGTCGAGCTCAAACAAACACAATCAAGGTACAACAGCTGTGGACATTAAGGGGCACACCATAATTAAGTTGTTCTTCCCACAGAAATGAACTATATTCAGTAACAATGACATTCATTATTCTCAATTTTGCAGTGGAACGTACATAGCATACCGATTTTGTTGAGGATGCTGTCAACTTTATAGGCACATATCATGCAATGTTTTTTGGGGAAAAAATTGTACAGCACACCAAGGACTTTATTGATGAAACCAAGAAAAAAAAAAAGTTATGTACATGTTTGTATATATGAATGGTTGCAACCCCAAAGACCTTTCCCAGAATCAATACGTTTGGTTTGGTAATGGTCCTATCAAGGTTTCTTCTGTATATTCTTCTTCAACTCTGCCTACAAATGTGTATAATATTTCCTGTGTCAGTTCTGTATCTGATTGATTATTCCAAACCAATGAAGATCAATCAATTATGTTCCCCTCTTCGCAACATAGGCAAATTGGTTCCTCCATGGAGGTCCGTGATACTTTTTGCCCTGTACTCTTTGTTCTTAAATTCATGACGGTAGTCACACAAAATATATTTCTGCAAGTACCATACTTGGTCAGGAAGAGTGCTGTTTGTCGTACTCACAAAGCAGGTACCATTGTATGTCCCAATCAAGGCCAATTTGTTGAACCATGACAGAACAATGCATGAAACACATGAAGGGGGGAATGGAAAAAAAAAATTCAAGGTATTGGCATACCATTAGCAGGAAAACACATCCAGTTGCACCGCGATGACCTTTATACTTCCGAACACCGTTGTGAAGGAATTGCAGTGTAGACCAGGCAACTTGCGAAATAAG